TTTTTGATGTGTTCTGGGTCGGATTTTTTAATTTTCTGAAGACGGATATAAAGATGTAGACCGTACCTGTCAAGAAAAAAAAAGTTTATAATGAACACAAGAGAAAAAAAAAAAAAGAATTGTTTGCCCGTATATACTCGTGTATAAGTCGACTTCATGTATACTGCAATAACTGAATTTTTTGTTGAAAACCCTGATTATTCCAAATAGCTTTTTTCTTTTCTGTTTTTAATCGGTATCACACCACGCAAGTCAGTAAAGCCACTAAAACAAGGAGTTACGAGGGTGTGGAAGAATTAGGAACAGAAAACATTAATACTGAGCGGGAAGGGAAAGGAGCAAAATGGTTGGTTACCTGTACTGCCACAGTAAGTATTTGACTCCTCCTACTATGCACTATCTATCTAACTGTTATGGTCCGGTTTCTTGTACCACGGTGATAGTCCAAGGTAGAACCAATAAAGAAGAACTCGAACACAGGTATGGAATAACACAGATATATTACAAACAGGAATATATACAGAGAAGTAGAAGTGTTAGTATGAACAATCAGGTTTAGTAGAGAGAACAATGTAGTCTCGACCAGTATCACTATTCCAATGTCTTGCAGTAATTGTCTGAATGCAACTCTGTTTCAGACTGCCTCTGACTCGACTTGAACTACTGACTGACTTGAACTTGAACGACTGGCTAACGATATTCAGTCACCCACGCCCACTGGGGTAGCATGTGGCACAAGGCCGGTTTTTTAACGTGGGATCTCCGAGCCCATGAGCTCGGCCCCAAAATATGCCCATTGAACCCGTATAAACGGGTTCAGGGTCGGTTTACCTCCGCGAAAGAGAATCCGCCCTTCGGCGTAACCTCCTTCGGGTTCCTCCCCGCCCAAAGGCAGAGAGTTCAACCGATCAGCCAGTCGACTGACTGACTCATGGATTACTCCTGAGGCGTAGTATTTATTAAGTATGGAATAATCCATTATTATTATTATGGATAAGACCCCCATAACACTAACCATTCATTATAAAATACATGACTTTATGACTTTAAGCGCACAAACTATACAATGGGGTAAAAACTGGCTACATTCAATGCCTCGAAGGTCAAGCTAGTTACATTCCATCATCGCCGATCTGACCCCGAACTGCCACCAATCAGGATGAATGTAGTTCCTCTCGAGGAAGCACCTCCGTACCTTGAAAGACTGTTGGGTCTCAAACTCGTACCCGAGCACAAGTGGAACACGTACATATGATCCATTGCTAAGGATGCGGTTAAAATGGTCGGCTCCCTGTACCGCTCCAGTAAGTACCTGACTCTTCCTGCTATCCTCTACCATTACAAGGGCCAAATCAGGCCGAAAATGGAGTACTGTTGTCATATTTGAGCAGGAGCTATCCGCACCTCACTCTCCGGCCTTGATAAAGTTCAGAAACGTCTCTCAGCCCGTGGGCGACGAATTATTTCCCCTTTTTTTTTTTTAATAATAACTATTCATTATAAAATACATGACTTTAAGCGCACAAACTATACAATGGGGTAAAAACTGGCTACATTCAATGCCTCGAAGATCAAGCTAGTTACATTCCATCATGGCCGATCTGACCCCGAACTGCCACCAATCAAGATGGAAGTTGGTCCTCTCGGAGAAGCACCCACGTACCTTGAAAGACTGTTGGGCCTTAAAATTACACCGACCTCAAGTGGAACTCGTACATACGATCCATTGCAAAGGATGCCGGTAAAATGGTCGGCTCTTTGTACTACTCCAGTAAGTACCTTTTTTCATATTTGGGCGGAAGCTGCGCAGACTTCATTCTCCAGCTTTGATAGAGTTCAAAAGCGTCTCCGAACCTTTGTGGGTAACTTATTATTCTCCACCTTTCACACCAGAGGGTGGGTTGTAGCAGACCTCTCACTGCTCTGCCGCTACTTCTATGGAAAGTGATCGGGCGATCTTCATTCCCTGGTCCCGTCAATTCAATCCTTCATGGCAAGGACACGCAATGCCACTTACATTGTAACAAATCACCCACGTTCCCTATGTATTCTAACGGTGAGAAGTACGTTTCATTCAAACAGATTCTTCCCGCGAACCATTGATCTGTGGAACAGAACTCCCAAGAGGATGTTTCCCCGATCCTTACAATCATAACCTGTTCAAGTCTAGAGTTAACCGTTATCTTCCACTCTTACACATAAAAATGGCTTCCTAATGTAATCCTTTAAAAAAAAAAAGAAAAGTATGAGCCACATAAAAAGAAAGTTTTGATATTTACCTTTGGGGCCAATCGGTTAACTTCCTGAAGAAATCCTGTACGTTTCCGAAGAAGCCAGCAAAGGCGAATAAACGTTCCACATGTATAAGTTCAGGTATAATTCTACTGAGTTTGTAAGGCATGTATTGGGAATTTTTTGCCCAACTTTTGTCTTCGAAAGTTTCGTATGTCCAGTACCAAATTTTGAGAAACGTAGAATTCTTGCTAGCAATAATTACTTGCACCCCTAACGCATCAAGGCGACAAGGACCCAAGGTTATGGGATAAACTCTCAGAGGATCGAAACTTTTCAGCGCGAGTTCATCGGTGTCCATATAAATTCCACCAAATTCTGCAAAAACAATTTGATCATTTTTAGGATTTTTCCCAACCTATAATTATTTTGTCATTATGAATCAAAAACTCTGTAATTAGTAGTAATTAGAGCTCGTGTTATTAGATCTGGGACGGATATTTTTGTCAATTTATACTAAACTAGCAGGTATTCACTACTTGAAATCTTTGAAACAAAAATTTCAAATGTGCATTTCATTCATAAATTGACATGTTATAGCTAAGGGAAGTTTTACAAATAGATGCCAACTTGTTGAAGGCCAAGTAAAATGCAAATTTCAAACACTTTTCTGCACTATATAAGACAATATTCCTAAACAGAACTATTTTTGATATGAAAATCAAAACAATCCTCGAATAAAAGAACAGTAATTAAGGACAGTTAATTAATAAAATATACTTTTTTTTAAATCTATATGCAAATTAGTTAAGCCCAGAGGAGAGATATTGCCTAATAGTAGATAATATATAATACAGATGTTGAGCGTTCTAGAAGGAGGGTCAGTGGTCGCACTGAAGCCACCACAGCCGACAGTTGCGGGGGCTGATGGAATTTTTGTTCCTGTCCCGGGCGCACGCGCTCGGGTCACCACCTAAAAATAGACCTTGTATCACATCTCATCCTGGGGGGGAATACCGTGTGTAAATTTCTCCGCGGAGGGATTTCGCATGGCTAATCATCTCTTAGTTGCGTCTCTGTCTCTGGGCAGAGTGCGATCAAGGGCTTCTCTGTTAAAGGACAGAGGGGCAACTGAGACAATTATACTGAAGAGGTGCCCAGCCCTAGGGAACAGCTGCCCGAGGCCGCGCCCTTCCATTGTACCAGAGGGAGGGATCGGTGCACGCACCGGGGCCAGCGCAATCGACGTTTGCGGGGGCTGAGGGGATTTTTTGCTGCTGTTCCGAGCGTATGCGTTCGGGTCTCCACCTAAAAAAGACCTTGTGTCACATCTCGTCCAAGTGTTGGGGGGGGGCAGAGTAAATACCTTGTGTTAATTACTATAAAATAGAGCTGTGGCTTTTTAATCTCAGAATTCATGGGAGAATTGAGCTCCAATTTCGCGTTTATTCATATTCCATAATATAGGCTTTACTTAATTAACTATTATGTTTCTCTAACTCTTCAAATGTTGAATGTATAACTAATTCTGATTTCTATTTTCCCATCTTTACACTATATTAATTTTATCTTATAAATTGCTCCCTGTTCTGTCACCCATGAAATAAAAATAATTGTTTGTACAAAAAATAAGGATCTACGTACATCAAATCGTCTTTAAATTAAGTGGCAGCAGAAGAATTATCATTGAACTTTTAAAAGATAAACTTAAACATTAATTCACTACTTAAATGCAGCGATCAAATTTGAGTTCTTCTATAGTTTATTGATGCCTCCTCCTCCCTAGCTATTGTGATGATGGCCAAACCAAGATTCCTCCACAGGAGCTAGCTTAAATGCCGCCTGATATGTCGGCTTTTAAGCCAGTTTATAATAAAGTGTGCACTGCAATTTTGAATACAAAAGGAAAATAAGAGTTACTCCCCTTGAACGATGAAATCAACGATAATGGCTAGTATAATGTATTAATATATATTTTTAACCTCGCATAATCTGGCAACTCTGAATATGAGCTCAACGAAAATCGTTTCCTGCGCCTAATTTTTCTAGGGCTTTTGAAAGAGGTATGAATCATTGAAATCGGACCAGTGGGAGCGAAGGAGTTGCTTGAACACACACACGCGCAAATACTCAGTAGCCGATGGCTCTGTTCAAGAGAAAATTGCCTTGTTCATTAAGACATTAAGAGACCAGATATACATTTCATATTTTGCATATATAAGCACAAAAAGAAAAGTTTAAATTAGGACCAGGCCAATAAAAACGTTATGTCAAAAGGACGTTTTTTTTTGTTTTGTTTTGTTTAGTTTTGTTTTGTTTTTTTGGTGGTGGTGGTGGGGGGGTTTACTTGATACCACCATAACTGTATAATCTCTCGATAATTTTTATTGTTTTTTTAGCTGTTTTAATAATTTTAATAAAAACACAACATATGAAACTAAATTTATACATTATTTTTTTAATTATATTTTAATTGTTGCTTTTGTTTTGGTCTTGTTCATTTTTTAATAATTTTAATCTAATTTTAGTTTTAAAAGGTATTTTAAGTATTTTAATAAAAGCATTGCATGTTAAACTGAATATTAAACATTTTTTCTTGCTGTAATTACCCATATTTTCCACGGTGTTGGTTTCGTTCATAATTCAGTTACTTATGGTTTTATTAAAATTTTAAAAATAGCTTTTCAAACGATATACAGTACCGAGGTTTTATACATCTTATTACTTCAAATGTTTATATTAATAACAATATTGCCAGATTAAAAATATCAGTTGTTTTGTCTGTGAATGAGTGAGGAGGATAGTGAGAGAGTCTGGAGATATAGAGAGAGGAGAGATAGAGAGACTCTAGAGATATAGAGAGTGTAGAGATAGAGAGAGTCTAGAGAAATAGAGAGAGTCTGAGGAAATAGAGAGAGTCTGGAGATATAGAGAGCGTCTGGAGATATAGAGAGTGGAGAGATAGAGAAAGTCTGAAGGTATAGAGAGTGTAGGGATAGAGAGAGAGAGAGAGAGAGTCTGGAGATATAGAGTGAAGAGATAGAGAGAGTCTGGAGATATAGAGAGTCGAGAGATAGAGAGAGTCGGGAAAGAGAAAGAGAGAAAATATGTAAATATAAATAAATAGCATAAAAAGAAATGTATGTTTTTTTTAAATTTTGTTGTTTCCACACAGCATCCTCGGATTAAAAGAAAATAGAAACAAATATGTGACTGACCCATCAAAAGTTGTATCCTCATAATATCAGCTTGATGTTGCACAACTTTAACCGGTTTGTCAAATATACGTGTTACCCTGGTGGTTTCGATAATAACAATGTTTGGCACCAGTTCCAGAAGATGATCCCACCACTTTCCGTCCAGAATCTTTTCGGTGTGGACAAAAATGAAACCAGGCTTCAATATTCTGTAAGAACTAAGAATACTTAGTAAAAAAAAGAAAGTGAAATCTGTATTGCCCAAGAAGATATAATGGACAAGCTTTGGTACCGGAAGTCCATCCTGACAATATCTGCTCTCGGCTAAAATGTATAAACATTCGTGATTCTCGGGAAAGGATAAAAATCTACCACTTTTCTTCAAACATTTCTGGAGAGAATATTTGTGGAAAATTGCATGCAACGCATCTGTAAAACAAAAACAAAAATATTTGGAGTGAATGAAAAAGAAATTAACAGAATGATGACAGTGATAGATATAAATAGGGATATACTCGACTCTCCCATCGAATTCGACGTATGAGGATCAAGCAGATAAGTTCCTAGAAAACTGACAGCCCAACACCAGAACATGAGATTTGATTATAGTGGTGAATGTTTGGTGCAGAACCATCCACACTTTTTGAAGAGCCGAATAAAGAGACTTGTGCAACGGGGTCCCCAAACGACCCTCCGCAGGTTTTTGAATTCAGAGTTGTCCTTCTTAAAGTAAGACCAGTTGCCATCCAAGGCTAGGAACCTGAGTCTGTCCTGCTATTTACCCATAGCTGGAAGAAGAAGAAGAGGGATTTACACCTTTCCCAAGGGTATTAGTACGTAAGTGAATGTAATGGATTCGATTGAATTCGAACTCGGCTCTCCTATTCCTCAATCCAAGCCAATATATATATATATATATATATATATATATATATATATATATAGAGAGAGAGAGAGAGAGAGAGAGAGATCCAAAAGTGAATCCTAATAATATAAAATAGTAAAACTGATCCACAAAAAAGACCTCAATCTATTTATTATAACAGAGCATACAAGTCACATAATAGAAAAATCCAAAATTAGCACAGAAGAATAGCTATTTCAACCAAACGTTACTACGTTGGCATTTTTCGACATACTATTTCGCTGTAGCACAGCTCTTCAATGTGGCTGGACGTACGATGGCTTCAAGCCGGGATCAAAACCAGACTCATTTGACATCAGTCAGATATCTTTCTTCTAGACCATCACCGCACAGCAGAAAGAAAGGGAATTTTAACGTTTTTCTCTATAATAGTGGGGGGAAACAAATATTTGTACATATACAAATTTTTAATTTATTGTATTTTTAACTAATGAATAAACATATTTTTCATATAATTAACTGTACACAGATGCATAATAACTAAATATGCATAGAAAACAAAACTTTTTGGTATAATAGAAATAATAGGGCTATCTAGTTAGATTTAAAATAGATTTAAAATAATAGTATCGTACCCTTTTTAGGGAGATCTGTGTAGCAAATGATGACAATACCAACAGTCAGCAATAACAGAACAAGGAAACACTTCATAATATTTGTCGTGTTCATTTTCCTGAAAGTAAAAATATGCGTTGACAATTTGGGGTTCAATATAGTTTACTCATTCATGCTTCTAAGACAATAAAATTACATTCTGGGATACAAAAAAGACGAAGAAGGCATTTTTGAATATTCTTATGACAAATGCATAAACTATAAACATGTCGAGAAGATTCCACACTGCAACAGACACCGAAACGAAATAGATTAACATCACCACGTGAAATATTTGACCCATCAAAAAACTAAAAGCCTATTTTTATCGAGTCTGAATTCGGGGAAAACATTCTTATAAAACCCTGCAGATTTTGACTTTCAAGTAAAAAAAAGATGCAGTTGTCTCCAAGCCGAATAGAAGACGTGGGCTATAGATTTTTCTTTCCCACCAGCGTGTGCTGAAAGAAACACGTGTCGTTTCAAACGAATCATCACCAACAAAAATAGACATTTAATGAATCTTCGTTAATGATAAAAGTATTTTCTCAACCCAAGCTCTTTTTTTTTCATTTTTTTTTTTTTTTGTGGACCGTCTATTTTAAAGTCTTTTCTAAATATTTTTTTTTTATGTGAATCAACTACAGAAAGTTTTGAATTCAGCTAAAGGTTATTTTTACTCCTTTTTGACTCTTGAAATCATGTACATATGTTTATAAATACAAATGATTACTTTAACAGGATAACCACATTTTCTTTATTTTTATTTTTTAATCGTTTGCTATTCGGACGTTCGAATTTTTAATATAAAAAAAATCCTGTACAACTGAATTTCCTATAGATAGATAGATAGATAGATAGATAGATAGATAGATAGATAGATAGATAGATAGTAGAACAGACTGAGATGGATAGAAAGATAGATAGAACAGACTGAGATAGATAGCAGAAGAACAGACTGAGATAGATAGATAGATAGATAGATAGATAGATAGATAGATAGATATTCCTGATGATGTTTTTTTAAACTTTACCAGTCCAGGTAGGAGCATGAAAACAATAGTAGATTTGGATCAACACAAATCAAAGGAAAAGGCGAAAAAGCTGTTATAAAAATTTAAGATATTTTTATTTTCGTGTTTTTTCCAGCTAACTTTTTCTTAACATGTTCTTATAATCATTTGTAGTCGTTTTACAAAATGAAAAGTTTGAAAACAAATGCGATTTCTTCGTGTGTATGTGTAAGAAAGAAGAGGCGGAGTGGAGAAAGAAGAAGAGAGGAAGAAAATGAGGAGGAAAGTGTAAGTGTTCCGTGATTGTTGAGGAAGACGCGTGAATACGTAAGTACAGCGTCGTGATCTGTTGCCGTCTGTTGCCATTGCTTCTACTCAATGAAAATCAAACCTTCACAAACGTTTATATTGTTGGTGGAGACACGAACCGATGGTTGTAAAATGTTGAAATATTTATTTTCAAATCATTAATTTATTAACTGGAACAATGCGCAATCGGCCGATTCAGAAAACATTTTTTACTTTTTTTTTGTTTGTCATTTAATCTTTGACTGTATTCGTGTTAATTTTCGTCTTCGCTCCACACTCCAATTGTCACATTCAAATCGAACCACTCCTATCTAATGCGTTCAAGTTAATTTTATATTTTTAACAGAAAGTCTGCTACAAATATATTAGGTACCTCCATGAGATCGCTAAAAAAAGAGCATAGCTTGATGAAAAAGACGCCAAACTTGACGAAAACAAAATTTTATCGTCTAAATGTTTATGCTTATTAAGAGGAAAGATCAAAGTATTTTGGGAGTATTTTTTTACATTTTTTAATCGTCCCTAACACGTCCGAAATTTTCGTTAACAATCTTTTTTTTTCTTTTTTTTTTTTGTCAGCAAAATTGACAGATAATCAATCATGTCAGCCATTTTTTCCATTTTATAAAAAAATGAAAATCTCAGTTTGAAATTCCTTTAAAAATTAATTATTATTTTTTAAAAACTTATTTTAAAAAAATCAGAAATTATAATGTTTATTTAAGATATTTTGAAACCAGCATTATTTAGTTTCTGCGCCGAAAAGGCGTAGTTTGAAAATTAAACAATGCAGGTCATAACATTTCGCGTCACTTGACAGGTGATGAATGACGTATTGACGGATTACGTGAGGATAATTTGTTCTACGGAAGGCGAGAGGTGAAATTATTTAGATTTAAGTGAACAAATTATTTACCTCGTTATTTTTACGGAAAACTTTCAGTGCTGTATTTTTTTTTTTTTTTTTTTTAGCTTTTACCTTTACATTTATGATGCTTTATGGAAAATATATTATAAAGAAATTAAAATAAGACTGTTAAGAGTGAGATTAAATTTCATCAGAAAAGTATCTAATTAATTTTTAGGAACCTTTCTTATGAAATTTTATCAGAAGTGTACATAAAATACTATAATTTTATGTACGTTTATTACATTTTACTGTGTTATTTGTATTTCCATTCATTTTATTATTAATTTTGATATTTCATTTATGGAAAAATGTCATTACTGAGATTAATATAAAAATAATATCATATAAATTTCAAAAGATGATACTGATACTTGTAGTACCCTTCTCAGTTGAAAAAAAAATCAAATTAACGTCTCCACACGTGTTTCAGAAAAAGTAAAGGCCTTAACAGCTGTGGTACCATGCATATCTGACGAGCTGAGAGAAATATTCATAGATATATGATTTGTTTTTTTACGGTTTATCAACCATTTAATAATTATTTAAGGCCGAAAAATATTTTTGGGTTTTAGAATAATTCTTTCTTTACATTCAAGCGATCTGGAAGAAAGAAAGAAAACGAAGAAGAAAGAAAGAAAAAATAATACGAAAACAGGTCATAGGCGAGCACACACACGCACGGCTGACAGATAACAGGTGTCGAAAAATATTCAGGTCAAGCATCTGACCGATTTCCGCGGATCCGCGAAAAATGGAAGTTTGTTATCAATTGGTTGTCACCCAAGGGAAAAGAAAGAAAGGAGGAAAAGGGGAAACGAAGTTTAGGGACACTGAAAATATTGATAAGTAACAAGTGGGAAGTGTGTCATTGGAATGATAGTAAAGGTCTAAGTGGGTGGGGAAGTGTATCTAAGGATATGAAGACAAACCATTAATACGAAAACACAGACAGTCTCCAGAATTAGAACAAGCCCACACAAGGCGTTGTCGCTGGCGAAATTTTTTTTGAGATAATAAAGATTTTTATTATCAGACCTTCGAGCGGAGGGAAAATTGAAATAGTTTTATTCCGTTCAGAAACGCCAACGAGTCTGAGAAATTCCTTTCTTAGATCATATCCAATTAGCGATAAACTGCTTGACAAATGCCACGTGTTAAAAAGCCGAAAGTGTCATCTCAGTCGCTCATGATAAGGGCGATTTAAATTAATATTTTTGTTTTTCAAGCAAGGTGTTTCTTTCCCAAAACAAAGCCACGGACTGTCCACGCCCGACTAAAGAAGTCATTGGCTAAATAAGATCACATGACACACGAAGGAGGAGGAAAGATACCCGACCAGGACCTCATTGGCCGAGAGCGGTCACGTGACGCACGAGGAGAATCGGTCGACGCCCTGTCAGAAGTGTAAGTGTGAGGAGCCGATACGAAGAAGCGGGGAAGCGGATACACGCCCCTCAGAGGCACAGTAAAGGGAGTGGTAGTGAGAGTGAGTTACCGAAAATGGAAAAGAATGAAAAATCCCTAACCAGAAATAAGAAGGGTGGATACGTATTTAGAATTATCGAAGAACCCCTGGCGCCGACAGACCCACCCCAGTTTTGACTGCGTCAATAAAAACGAGACCCCAACCGACAGAAATCAGTTCAGCCGCGGACGGCGGGAGAGTTAAGCCGCGGACGGCAAGCGGAGTGGAACCGTGGACGGCGGCCCGAGTTCGGTCGTCCACTTTGCGGGCAAGAGAGGCCAGTTCGTTTGGCTTAAGTGAAGAAGTTCGTCCGACCCAAGCCGAAGAGAAGAAGTTAGTTCGCGCACCGACGGCGGAGATGAGTGACCAGTAATTCAGACTCTGGGCGAAAGAGTTCAGCCGCGGACGGCGAAAGAGTTCAGCCGTGGACAACAAGCAGAGATGAGCGCCCAGTGTTGAGACCGCGTCAAGATAGCTGACCAAGATTCCCACACACTTCTGGACTCTTCTTCAACCAAGAACAAGTAGTTTGAAGAGCGACTTAGAATCAAGACCACAGAAATAAGTTTTTTTCGACTTTCGTCCAAAGACACACCGAAACACAAATTTCTTAGAGAGCAGACAACTTGAAGCCTTAAAGTTGCCTAGTAAAAGCGTCGTGCCACAATCCACAGAACGGGTCGGGAAGTAGACATAGTCCTATGTACCGAGCAAATAGACATAAAAAGTTTGTTACCTTTTTCTTTGATACGTTGGACCTTGTGAGTTTTTATTTTATTTTCTTTTATACATAATTGTGTGTTATCACCCCCGTTGGACTCAACTTGCATTACGGCCCTGACCCTGTTTGATCTCGTCTGTCTAAGATCAATTCACAACGTGGGTAGGCAGACTGGAGATCAGTGCAGTTACCCTGGTAACCAGGCGTTGGAAGCGGGTTGGGAACGGCGAGGCTGGTATCAATCTAACCAAAGGGTTAGAACGTCACGTTTGGAGCAGTGAGGAGCGAACAGCTGACGCCGCGGCGAAGACGTCACAGTTGGTGCTGTCCGTGACCAGGATATCAGAGCTTGGGGAGCACGTGACGTCACAATTGGCGCCGTGACCGGGATCGAACGACACAGTCGACGCTGCGACCGGGGGACGACGTCACACAGCGGAGAACAATGCTTAACTCAAATAACGCAACTTAATTGTAATCTGGTTGGTCTTCCGTACTTTATAATTGCAGCCCTATTATGAACACAAAATTACATTTCTTAATTACTGCGGGTCTTCTGTTTAGTCAAAACGATACAATTTACAATGTGGTAAAAAATGGTCTATCTCATAAGGACATTTACGAAACTTTTAACTAATTTTATAATATTTTAACAACTTAAATGTAAAAATCTATTATAATTAAAGAAATAACAAATAATTGTATTAAAAATTCATTTTTCACCGAAAATTTTTTTTGGTTTCAGAAAATATTGTCCATACTCATAAAAACAACTAAAAGCAAATAAAAGCATTTGAAATTAAATATCTTTGTTTTATTGAGGTTTGTATGTTACAATTCAGAGCTGATTTTCAGGTAGGGGTCCAATTAAAAAAAAACATGATTTGCATTCCTCAAAGCCTTGTGCTTTAACTATTGTAATCACTAAACTGTATTCGATCGAATTTCTAAATTAGTTATGGTGTGGGGGTAATAAATATAAAAAAATATTTCTGCCATGACTTTAATATAAAAAAAACATATTTATAATAATTTCCATCAGCTATGAATAGTTTCTGAAAGTTTCATCAACATCCGACAATTATTTTTATTTTTGCATGATTTTCCAAATTAATGTGTCATACAAAAAAGTGCAAAAAATTGTATATGTTATTTTACTAGTTCCGGTGATACAAAGAGAAATAAGGATTTTTAATCAAAATTTAGAATGTTCTAAAAAGAAGGAAAAATGTTTAAAAATAATTAAAAAAAAACTTTGGTCTTTCCTCTTAATAATAAACATTTAGACGATTAAATTTTGTTTTCGTCAAGTTTTTTGTTGTTTTTTTGTTTTGTTTTTTAATCATTCTATGCTCTTTTTTAGCGATCTCATGGAGTTACCTAAAATATATACATACATATGAAGAGAACGAGATAGATAGATAGATAGATAGATAGATAGATAGCAGAGGATGATAACACCTCAAATTGATTGAAGAGCCGGGGGAATAGAGACCTTGCCCTTATTTAATAAGCCGCCAGTAATCACAAGAGCCAAAGTTGTTAGAGGATATGCAGTGCCTCATTCTCTCGGCAAACCGGGACTTAGTTCCTTCGAAGACTCGTTTACATTTATTACGAGCAGCAGCGAATAGGCGCCTGTTGTAATCTCATCCTGACATCCAATGGGAAAAAATCTATTCACCTAATACTTAGTTATCTACCGTTTCAACTTATGACAGTTCCTTTATAACTGTATTCAACTCCCGTTTCTACATTTCTTCGTCTTCAGTGCAGACCAACTCCAAATATCGTCTTATTTTAACTATTGTCCCTTGTTCTTGTGGAAGTAAATTATTAAAAGATTATTTTTTTAATTTTTGTATAACTTTTCCCCCATTTCACTGTATTCATCTTCAGAAAATTTCTCAATATGATGCTTAATCACAAAATGCGAAATGAAGCGACTCGCATTAAAACATAAAAATATATTTCTTTGAACCAGAAGAAAACCTTACCCACTTTTACATTAAAAAAAAACAAAAAACAATTCACCACAAAACTGTTGAGTTCACCAAGTATACTTTATCGACCGTTTATGCCAAGCGCTGGTGAAGCTATGCCAGTTTAGAAGCCTGGACGCTTCCCTGGCTCATAGCACCGGGAATCGTAGAATCTTGCGCTTATATTTATTTTGTATCGTCATGATTTTTTTTTTATATGTACTTTATGAACATATTTTCATTTTTTTAAAAGAATTTCAAGGTTGCAAAAGTAGGTAACTCCATTAATTCGCTGAAAATCAGCAGCGGTCGGCCATATTTACTATTGGTGTTTTAGTGCCATTTTCCCGCTAAATCACATTGATTTGGAAATCCTTGCAAAAATCATTTTTAACATTTAACGGATTTTAATATAACTTTCAGGAATTATTCATAAAAAAATTAAATTTTAAATTTTATTTTTAGAAAATCTTTGTAATTTTTTTTTTACGTATGTTACCACTACTTACCGAATTTTATGAAATTTAGAGAAATTACATTTTGATTGCAAAATTTGTTTTATTAGTTAATAGCAGGACACATTGAAAACGTAAATCAATATTTTTTTCGCTACTACTCATTTACCGAAAATCTACTCCAAATCGTATAGATAGATAGATAGATAGATAGATAGATAGATAGATAGATACAGGCATATATAGATAGATATGTTCAAAAAAGCATACGGCCTGATTCAGGTGATACTTCATACTATGAAAATAATATGTGATTAGTAATAACAAAATCGACGTTTTCTTCATTCATTGTTTTTTCGAGGGTCAACGTTTGTTATGACTACTAGATAGATAGATAGATAGATAGATAGATAGATAGATAGATAGATAGATCGTTTTGCAATGATTTTTTCCGCATTTATATTCATCAATAAATTTCGTAAACGTATGATGTTTAATCATAAAATGCAAAATGAAGCTACTCGCATTATTAAAATCACACATATATATATATATGTATTGCTTTTCACATGATAAAAAATGAGTTTTAATTTTTTTTTAAAGTCACAATACTGTTATAGATAGATAGATAGATAGATAGATAGATAGATATGAACGAACCTGTTCCTGATAGTTTTTAACAATTTTCATCTCCCCAGGTAAGAGAAGCAAAACAGTGTTAATCCAATTGTGAAAGAGAAATCAGAAATCTATCAGGTGTAATAGACACTTGTGACTTTTTAAAAAAATCGTTTAACATTTTATATTCTCCGCCTTAAGTGTCCGAGTTTTGATATGGAAATCCTTCAGAATGAATATATTACATACTCAAATTTATCACCTGCTGTCGACATGTAGAACGCATGGATAAAAACAATTCTTTAATTAAGTTTTTGCCCATTCTAAAAGATTTCCATCTCAAAACGGACACTTATGGCGGAGAATATAAAATGTCAAATGATTTTTTTTAAAGTCACTCATTTTCTTTCTCTTTTTTAGTCTCGAACAACGCCAGATTGGGAAAATAATAGTCTATTGTATAAAATTTTATTAATTGAAAGTAACAACGATTAATTTCCCATTTGGGAAATATATATCTCAATACGTGCTAGAAATTTGGAACGTTTACCAAATAGATACAGAATAGATAGTAAACTAATTAATATAAAGTGGAAAAACATGCCACCTGATTCATGTGATATTTAATACTACTGGTTATAGTTGTCGGCTCTATCTAGATAGATTAGCGGTGCAAACGGCTTATGAGCAAAAAGTTTGATCGGGCGATCAAATCCTGTGACAGTGGGGACGTTGCTATTGCTAGGGCAGACTTGGCCTCCTTGCTTATCAAAAAGGATCAAGCTCTGGTAGTTAGGGCTAGGTTAAAAACAATGTCCTCTGAGGTGACGAATATGGCCGCTGAATTTCGTGCAGAGGGGTCTCGGAATACATCTCTGCGACATATCGTGTGCGTCACATTGCCAGATAAGTGACTACAAAACGCGGGCATATGTCAGGCTTTTCGTGATTTTTTTTTTTTTTTATCGTGATTACTTTCTGGAAATTTTCACCAGGGATCCCGGTCCGAGCCCTGCTCCGTTCGACGGTTATTTAGCCGACTTTCCCTGCCTTTGGAAGCAGTTGAAGTGCTAGGTGCGAGGGTCCCATTACAGAGTCGGAAATATGGGAAGCGCTGAAGCAGGTTGGCCTGGATAAATCTCCGGGGGATTAGATGGTCTTCCCTTTTGAAGTCTATAACAGAAGATGGAAAATGCGACACTGAGATCCTAAGAAGAGTTGGGATGGCCAAATATGCCTTCAAAAAAGCTAAGCAAAGTATTAAGAGACAGAAATTCTTCGTTAGAAACAAAAAAAAAAAGTACTGAAACGTTATGTGATATATGTCCTCCTGTACGGCAGCGAATGCTGGACAATCTCCTGAAAGATAAAGAAGATACTTGGACCAACAGAAATGTAGTTCTACAGAAAGATGCTGAGGATACCATGGACGAAACATCTGAGCAACGACGAGGTTTTAGAGAAAATTGTAACAAAATGGAAACTTATACTTAACATCACGAAGAGGCAATTGAAATTTCTGGGATAAGTAATGAGGAATGAGGACATAGAAAATCACAGATCAGATTGAAGGTAAGAGGAACAGAGGAAAACAGCGTGTAATATACTTGATGGGCTTGAGTAAATGGATAATAGAACAGGGTTTAGAAGAAATAACAAAAAGACAAAACTTATTAAGAGCTAAAAAGCACAGGAAGATGTGGAGAGCCATGATCGCCTACATCCTGAAGGTTGGCACGTAAAAAAGCTAGAAATATGAAAAACTAGTTCCATTGTCACAGATAAATCGAGCGTTGTCTACTCTAAGTCTAATGAGACAAACTGGAAAATGTACTAGCGACGCGTTTCACCGAGAACACCTGCTCTGCTTGGCTTGCTCAGGTTAGAATGAAAGAAAGATAAAACTGTACGCGAGGAAAATGCCTTGGGATCTCTAAGGATAAGTGGTGATCATAAAGCAAATTAAATTAGATTACTTTATCACTTCAATGTCCAGACTCAACAGATTGTCTATACATGCACACTCGTATATGTCTGTGCATTTATACAGACATAGGCGTATGCACGCGCATACACATCATAGAGCCTTTTATGCATACATGTACACAAATATACATACGACTATTTCTTATATATACCTGTGCACACATCGTCCGATAAAGTTCTAAGACACCTAATTTTTTTTCTTCTCTCATACATCTTTCTTCAAAAATGTTTTTCATGTATAAAATTTATATATCGTTATCCTACATATACACATATATGTTCCCCTCATATATACCTGTGTACACACATACACACACACATATATATATATATCCATACGCATTTAAAGTCATTTTGGGAGGGCATTGTTTTTATGGGTCGCATTGAGATATATATATATATATATATATATATATATATATATATATATATATATATATATATTATAATATTTTTTATTATAATAGATTATAATAAAAACATTTTACATCGCTACAAAAGCTTTCAGGTTTCAATACTAAATTGTACTTCCTCAGACGATGGTGGATAACTTGTGATAACAAATGGGTTATTTGGGAAATTTAAAAACAAATCCTTACCTCTTTTCCGAAGTTAAAGTGGTGGACATGAGGTCAGACTTAAAATATACTTGTATAATATATTCGATCTGTTTTGTCTCTTATATATATATATATATATATATATATATATATATATATATATATATATATACAAACAATTATACCTAAAGGATCTTTATACCGGGCCTGACAACCATGCAACTTGGATCTGCGACTGGGGTCGGACATGTGGAGGCTAAATTACTAAACAACAATTACTGCATTTTAGCAAGGAATTTGTTAGTAATGTCCAATAATTAGTTAATTAGCAACTATATATAATATTAGGAAGCATCTTACAATTATTGACTTATTTCCATAAATGCAAATGTACAAAGACCGATTTTTGCTAATTGTACCTTTTGTCCCACAGATGAAAAAAATACTGATTTTGTTATGATACAATAATAGATATTTATTACCAGTATACATAATTTTAAATATTAAAATCAATTAACATTAACAAAAACACAAAATTAATTAAGAGAATAATTTAGGGAATTACCCAGTATAAGGAGTCATATACATATGTACATTGGGTCTTTGTTGTTTTTTGTTTTTTGTTTTTTTCTTTCTACTAGTTCGTATACCGCAGCGTATAAAAGTTGGTTAATTAAAATTATCTCCGATTTATTTTACTTTCAAAATATATATATACCTCCCTACATACAAGCAATTTAAAAAATAAACAGAAAATTTGCTTTGAAATACGTTTTTGAATTCGGATTTTTTATTTGGATACAAAAAAAAATTTCGATTTAAAAATAACTCCTTTGTACTTGACATATTTGATAAGACAACAACGACGACAACAACAGGTTTTAATTTTAAATACGAGGGCTTTATGACTATCCACACGGGTTTTGTGATCGTATTCTAGAAAATCATACATCATTAATAAACCAATGTATAATAGTGAAAAAAGCAAAATTTTTCTTTATTTCAATATATTTACTACTTTAAATTTACTGCAAGTTTTTTTTAAGACTTATGAATGGTACTAATAAATAAAATATTCAACTTAATCTTTAAATTAAATTAAAAATGTAGTCAATTTTTATAAAATCGTCAAATGTATCTCACTGCATTTTTTAACATCGTCGTTCGTTGCAAAATACAACACGTCAACAATTCTATTATACACGCCTACGTGAATCAAATTAACCAATCAAAAAACCTTTGAAAAGCAGCAGTTTGAAATTCCTTTAAAAATTAATTATTATTTTTAAAACTTATTTTAAAAAATCAGAAATTATAATGTTTATTTAAGATATTTTGAAACCAGCATTATTTAGTTTCTGCGCCGAAAAGGCGTAGTTTGAAAATTAAACAATGCAGGTCATAACATTTCGCGTCACTTGACAGGTGATGAATGACGTATTGACGGATTACGTGAGGATAATTTGTTCTACGGAAGGCGAGAGGTGAAATTATTTAGATTTAAGTGAACAAATTATTTACCTCGTTATTTTTACGGAAAAACTTTCAGTGTTTTTTTTTTTTTTTTTTTTTAGTTTTTACCTTTACATTTATGATGCTTTATGGAAAATATATTATAAAGAAATTAAAATAAGACTGTTAAGAGGAGATTAAATTTCAGAAAAGTATCTAATTAATTTTAGAACCTTTCTTATGAAATTTTATCAAAGTGTACATAAATACTATAATTTTATGTACGTTTATTACATTTTACTGTGTTATTTGTATTTCCATTCATTTTATTATTAATTTTGATATTTCATTTATGGAAAAATGTCATTACTGAGATTAATATAAAAATAATATCATATAAATTTCAAAAGATGATACTGATACTTGTAGTACCCTTCTCAGTTGAAATTGAAAAATCAAATTAACGTCTCCACACGTGTTTCGCAAAAGTAAAGGCCTTAACAGCTGTGGTACCATGCATATCTGACGAGCTGAGAGAAATATTCATAGATATATGATTTGTTTTTTTACGGTTTATCAACCATTTAATAATTATTTAAGGCCGAAAATATTTTGGTTTTAAGAATAATTCTTTTTTTTACATTCAAGCGATCTGGAAGAAAGAAAGAGAAAACGAAGAAGAAAGAAAAAAATAATACGAAAACAGGTCATAGGCGAGCACACACACGCACGGCTGACAGATAACAGGTGTCGAAAATATTCAGGTCAAGCATCTGACTGATTTCCGCGGATCCGCGAAAATGGAAGTTTGTTATCAATTGGTTGTCACCAAGGAAAAAAGAAAGAAAGGA